AAATCAGAATAACTTTTAGGAAATATGGGACTTAAAATGGGAGTCAAAAAATCGACAAAAAAAGGAAAGAAGAACAATAAAAAACAACAAGGAGCAGTAATAAGACAAAAAAACGCTGCAGAAAAAGGACACAATGATACAACAAAAAACGCAATGAAAAAAGGTGAAAAATAAGCAACAACCAAAAAAACGACAAAAAAAAGATTAAACGGCACAACTTCAAAAAGCGAAGGAATAGGCGATAAAACACGCAAAAGGCGTTAAAAATAGTGACAAAAAGGCGAACAAAAAATGTGGTCAACAAAAAGAAAAAACAAAAATTAACACAAAAAAGTGTAACAAAAAAACGACAAAATATGCAGTTTAAAAATAGAGTCACAAAAACCACGATAAAAAATCTACCGAAAAAACGACACAAAAAGTGACAAAAAAGACTTAAAATGGGCTAAAAATACTTGAAAAAGGATGAAAAACCATCATTAGAAAAGAGACAAAAGCTTAGAAATTAAAAAATCAGAAAAGAAAATCAGGAAGAAAAAACCCTAAGATTGCAAACCACCAAACAAATAAAATCAATAATCACTAATCACTGATCACTGATCACTGATCGTGATTTCGTGATTTCGTGATTTCGTGATTCGTGATTAGTGATTCGTGATTAGTGATTAGTGATTCGTGATTAGTGATTCGTGAGTAGTGATTCGTGATTAGTGACTCGTGATTCGTGATTAGTGATTCGTGATTAGTGATTCGTGATTAGTGATTTATGATTAGTGATTCGTGATCCGTGACTAGTGATTAGTGATTCGTGATTAGTGACTAGTGATTCGTGAGTCATGATTCGTGATTAGTGATTAGTGATTAGTGATTCGTGATTAGTGATTAGTGATTAGTGGTTCGTGTTTAGTGATTCGTGATTCGTGGTTCGTGATTAGCGATTCGTGAGTCGTGATTAGTGATTCGTGAGTCGTGATTCGTGAGTCGTGATTAGTGATTAGTGATTTGTGATTAGTGATTAGTGATTTGTGATTCGTGTTTACTGATTAGCGATTAGTGATTCGTGATTAGTGATTAGTGATTTGTGTGATTAGTGATTAGTGATTCGTGATTAGTGATTAATGATTAGTGATTCGTGATTAGTGATTCGTGATTAGTGATTCGTGATTGGTGATTCGTGAGTCGTGATTAGTGATTAGTGATACGTGATTCGAGAGTCGTTATTCGTGATTCGTTGTTCGTGAGTCGTGAGTAGTGATTCGTGAGTCGTAATTAGTGATTAGTGATTCGTGATTCGTGATTAGTGATTAGCGATTCGTGATTAGTGATTAGTGATCACTTAATCACTTAAATACTTAATTACTCACTCACTCACTCACTCACTCACTCACTCACTAAAAACTCAATTCGGAGTCGTAAACTACAGATGTAGGACTATGTTATTTTATACAATTTAAAACCCATTTACTATGTACAATTTTGAAGTGACGTCATCGCATAAGTGGTGGGGATGATTAGACCAATTTTGGTTAGCGTTTTACCATCTACATGATATTCTTAATATAAGTACAAAATTTCACAACAATCGGTCCAGTACTTTCGGAGATTATCTGTCTAATAAAAATCCGGGACGATAGACAGGCGGACAGACGGACAGACAGACGGAAATGGGAGACCTATTTCTTTGTCTTCTAGGGGTCATGAAAGATCGAGAAAACGTAAAAGTAGAGAGTCGGCCGACGGACTCGATTACAATACTTCCTTTGCTTACGCTCGGGAAGTAAAAAGGGCCATTAAAACGGAACAAAAAAAAATTATGAGAAAAAGGCGATAAAAAAGCGACAAAAGAAATACAAGCAAGAAAATGAATCACAAAAAGTGTAATAAAAAAAATGCTACAGAAAAAGGACACAATGAAATGCAACAAAAAACGCAATGAAAAAGGTGAAAAATAAACACAACCAAAAAAACGCCAAAACAGATTAAACTTAAAAACAGGCTAAACAAGCGAAGGAATAGGCAATAAAAAACGCAAAAGGCGTTAAAAACAGTGACAAAAAGGCGAATAGAAAATGTGGCAAACAAAAAGAAAAAACAAAAATTAACACAAAAAAGTGTAACAAAAGAACGACAAAATATGCAGCTTAAAAATAGAGTCAAAAAGGGCACAAAAGGTGCCTTAAAAACAAAAACCACGACAAAAACGATACAAAAAGTGACAAAAAATACGACTTAAAATGGACTAAAAATACTCAAAAAATGGATGAAAAACCGTCACTAGAAAAGGGACAAAAACGAAAAAAGAACAAAAAACTATCAACAAAAAAAAATCTACAAAAAGATCACAAAAAATATCAAAGAAAACGGCGACTTAAAAAAACACGACAAAAATAGAAACGACAAAATAAAGTCTACAATGAAATGTGACAAAAAAACGCCAAAGAACGGAACAAAAAAGCCGATAAAAAACGCGATAAAAATAGCGACAAGAAGGTTTACCAAATAATGCGAGCAAAAAGAACACAAAAATTAAAATAAAAAATCATCACAAGAAATCAACTAAAAAAAACCTAAATATCTCGACGAAAAAAAGCCGATTAAAAAACTGCAGTAAAATTGAAGAAAGAACGCAAAGAAATGCAACAAAAAAATCACCAAAAAAAACTAACTAAAAACAGGCTAAAAAACGAAGAAGTAGGCGATAAAAAACGCAACAAGTGACAAAAAAGGCGAACAAAAAATGTGACTAACAAAATGAAGATACAAAAAATAACACAAAAAAGTGTAACGAAAAAAGGACAAAAAATGCAGCTTAAAAACAGAAACCACGACCGAAAAAACAACACAAAATGTGACAAAAAATACGACTTCAGATGGGCTAAAAATACTCAAAAACGCATGAAAAACCGCCACTAAAAAAGGGACAAAAACTATCAAAAGAATCTACAAAGAAGATCAAAAAATGGGAAAGAAACGAGGCGACTTAAAAAAAACTCGGCATAAAATATAAACGAGAAAAAAAGGCCAGATGAGCAAAAACGACTAAAAAAAACGATTAAAAAACTAAAATAAAATTGAACGAAGAACGCAAAGAAATGCAACAAAAAAATCACCAAGCACACGAAACAAAATGGGACAAGAAAGAAGACTTAAAAGGGACTAAAAACTCTACAAAAAAATAGAAAAAACGCCAGAAAAAATGCACAAAAAACGGCAACTTAAAAAAAACGGGACAAAAAAAAAACCGAGAAAAACGACAACAAAAATAACAAAAAAACATCAGAAAAAGTCCCTAAAATTCCACATAAATAACCGAATATAAAAGGGAAGTAAACAAGATCAAAATAAGGGAGAAAAAAGGTCACTAAAAGTGACAAAAGCTAAAAAGATGCTACATAAAATGAAAAAATCCGAGAAAAAGCTAGATAGGTTACAAAAAACCCGACAAAAACACAGAAAATGCGATAAAAGAAAGGTCACACAATGAAATGTACCAAAAAAAAAGGAATAAAAAGACACCAAAAAATACGAAAAATAATGATAAAAAACAGCAAACGAAAAAACATAACAACGAAATGGTGGACACAAGAAAAAGAATCACAAAAAGTGCAACAAAAAATCATCAAAAGATGCGACTAAAAAACGACAAAAATAAGGAGAGAACAAAAAGAAAAAAAAACAAGAAAGAGCAATAAGACAAAAAATACTATTGAAAAAGGACACAACGAAATGCAATAAAAAAAGGTGAAAAATAAACGCAACTAAAAAAACGCCAAAAAAACATTAAACGGCAATACTTAAGACGTTAAAAAAAGACAAAAATAACACACAAAAAAATACGAAAAATGTCAAAAAAAATGAGGCGACTTAAAAAAATCACGACAAAAAAGAAGCGAGAAAAAGGTGACAAAATACAACTAAAGTATGACAAAAAAATCACTAAAAAGACGCCGAGAAAGAAAGGGTGAAAAAAACACAACAAAATAAGGTGATGAAATCAGCGACTAAAAGAAGATCAAACGACACTGCTAAAAAACGAGATCATAAAAGTGTAATAAAAAAATCAGTAAAAGAAGTTGGCCAATAAAGGCTTAAAATCTCGACGAAAAAAGGCGATTAAAAATTACAAACAACTGAACAACAAAAATTACCAAACGCAACAAAAAATACGACTAAAATAACCCAAAAAAAAGATGAAAAGGTAGTTCTAAAAAATGGCAAGATGGCCAACAAAAACAGGCTGCAAAAAATACAAAAAACCGACTGAAGCTCCACCAAAAATTTGCAAAAAAAATTATAAAAAATGCAAGGAAAAACAACAAAAAAATGAGACTTAAAAAAAACAAAAGACGAGGTTAAAAGAAAAGCTGAAAAGAAAAATAACAAAAAAACGACGGCACAAACGCCTAAAAAAGAAGTAAAAAAAGACGAAAGACCACTAAAATGACAAAAAATGAAAAAACAAGATAGTGAGAAAAATGCGACAAAATAAAGACCACAATGAAAAATGTTGATTAGCGATTTACCACTTTACACTTTTTCGACTCTTTTTCCAAAAATCTATACGTACAAGGTAAAAAATCATGTCAGACTAACGAACCACGATAAATACAGAAAAAATTTCGTTGGCGGCTGTTTTTTGTTCTGTAGATCCTACGATTTTTTAATTGTGCTAGGTAATGATGACGCCGAATTTGGCAACAAAATTAGAAATTGTAATAGAGTCAAATGTATGTCTGTTATCTGCAGCCGCCGTTTAATGTTTTTGTTTTATCGTTGAAACGTGGCCTTTTTCCATTTATCGATTCTTCTATCATATTATATGCGATTCAAATTCAAGGTTTTCAAGAAAAAACTGTCCCTTGGTGTACAAAAACTAGTAAACAATTTAATAAATTCGTTGTATTTGAATATGCATTATGAAAGAATATTAAGCTTGCAGGGATCAAGGACTTGGTTGGTTGCATTTCAAATGTGATTTTTTATTTCCAGTGGCGAATAACAAAAACGCTTCGTTAATCCAAATTTATGCTCGCGTATTTAAATAGTCTAGTAACTAGGTAAGTGATAAGAAGCTATATTTCACTGTTACGCTTTAAGTGGAAAATGTTCATTGTCAAAAAAATTTAAAATAGAAAAATAGTGCGATTCTGCTTGAATTCTAGAATTTTAACAACTGCAAAAGTTATTTATTTTTTTATTTTTAGAGGGACGCACCGTCAGTTAGTTGAACTTTGCCTCTGAATGAATGTATTAATCAAAATTTTATTAATGTTTCTATAACCGTACCAATTTTTTTTTTTCATTTCAATTTCATATACGAACTTATCTGCATTTACAGCGCCCATTATCTCTATTTTACCCATATTTATTTTACGACTATTTGTAATTCAAAACCAAAAGCGTTACAATTCCACGCGTACAACCATTTGGGCCAGCAGTGTGAAGGTTACAACATGAGCACCTTTTGGTTACTGCCGTCACCACCGCAATTCTTTGCCCTCATAACTTCCTACGTGGTTATTCTCATCGTGGGACCATTGCTCATGAAAAAACGTCAACCCTTCGACTTACGGAGCGTCCTCGTGGTCTACAACTGTTCACAAGTGTTCCTCAACGGCGGTCTTATGCTATTAGTAAGTGAATTCGAACCATAGTACGAGAATGAAGGTATCTTTTAGGGTATTCCAGTTGCACATAGAGTGACCATTTTCTGCAACCCCGACCATGACTCCAACAGCCACGAGAACGCCATCATTGCAAAGTTATACCTCAACTACGTCTACCTCAAAATGTACGATCTTCTGGACACCGTACGTCCTCCTTAGTGCCAATTTTTTTTTCGTTTATTAAAAATGCTGCAGGTCTTCTTCATCCTCCGCAAAAAGCACGCCCAGATTAGTTTTCTCCACGTATATCACCACATTATGATTCTCGTGGTTGGTTGGATGGGTACCAAATATTATCCTCCGGCAACGTACCCAGGAGGTCCATGTCTTCTGTTTGGTCTTGTTAACTGCTTCGTTCATATGTTTATGTACTACTACTATTTAAGAAGCGTGACACGAGGTCCCAACTTGAACAGTATGACGTGGAAAAAGTACGTGACTGTACTGCAGCTGGTAAATGACCACGTGCATAAGGGTTCCTTGGATAATTTTGTTTTTTTGAGGTTCAACATTACGTTATGTTATTGCTGACTTGTGTTGCTTTGATGACGGAGGAATGCCCTTATCCGAAGTACATTGTTTTCGCCGCTATGCTAGGCTTTTTTACCATGGTGTACCTTTTTAGTCAATTTTACTGGAAAACTTACATTCGTAGAAAGGACAAACTTGCAAACGGAAAAGCAGTTCATTGATTAACAAACGTACTGTATCTTATTACGTAAATTAATGATGTTAAATCAGCGTATAACACCTACGTTGCATTAAAGACAACATTTTTCACGGTTTTTAGACAATTTTAATACCTTTAGAATCGACATTCTTGGCCCTGAAAACTTAAGTGTAGATACACGTTTTTACGGAATAAATTAGTCTCACTAATAAATATGATGAAAATTTCAGCCTCATTTCTTCAAAAATCAAAATCCTATAATTTTTCCAGAATCGTCCAACGAAATTTTACGATTTTTCAAAAATGTTGATTTTGTGGACAATTTTTTCAAAAACTCAAGTTTTCAGTATTAATTACTTTTTTCGACACCATTCGAAAATTACCCATCGAGATCTTTTTTTGGAGGTTTCGATCTCTGGAAGTTATTTTCAGCCCCATTTCTTCGAAAACTCAGACCATTTTTCCAGAATCAACTCATGAAATATTTAGGATTTTCGAAAAAAGTGTATTTTGAAATCGAATATTTGTAAAATCTATCTCCTAAATTTTTTGCATTTTTAGACAGTTTTTCAATCAAATTTTCAATTCTCTCTTCATATAAAAATTTTGTCGTTTTTTCGACGACTTTCGAAAGTATCCTAACAATATTTTTGGTAGACCTCCAACTCAAAAAAAAATTACTTTCAAAGCAAAGGTTTCTCAAATCTTGTTTCGGGGCTTTAAAGAAGCTATATTTTTTGCATCAACACGTCGAGATCTGTCTCCCAGAATTATTTGTGGATCTTTGGCCAACTTTTTCGAAAACCGAATTTTTCATTACAAATATTTGGCTACTTCAAGATTTTTTTGATAGATTCCGACTTTCACATATTTGTTATCGCCCAATTTTTTCAAAAACTGCTACCACTTTTCTAAAATGTTCAAAATTTTTCAAAATCTACTACCCTTTTTGCCAGAATCATACAATAAAATATGGACTATTGAAAACAATTTTACGAATCACCATGTCGAGATCTATCTTCCAGCATTTTTGTGAATTTTTAGACAACAATCGCCCAAGTACGTTAATTTTTTCAAAAATTACTCCGTTTTTCCAAAATCATGCAAAATTTTTCAAAATCTGCTACCGTTTTTCCAAAACCGTACAATGACAATTTTTAGGACTTCTGAACAAGAATATTTTCAAAACGAATATTTCTAAAATCTTGTTGCAGAAGTATAAATACCCTGTATTTTGCGAATCACCTCGTCGAAATCTATCTTCCAGAATGTCTGAAAGGACGGAAAGGACGAAAAGAACGAAAAGGACAAAAAGGATAAAAATGTTAAAAGGGATAAAAAGGATAAAAAGGACAAAAAGGACAAAAAGGACAAAAAGGACAAAAAGGATAAAAAGTATAAAAAGCACTAAAAGAACGAAAAGGACGAAAAGGACGAAAATGGCAAAAATGACGAAAAGGACGAAAAGGAAATATAGACGAAAAGGACGAAAAGGACGAAAAAAACAAAAAGGACAATAATGATTAAAAGGAAAAAAAAGGATTAAAAAGATGAAAAGGACGAAAAGGACGAAAAGGATCAAAAAGGACGAAAATGACGAAAAGGATCAAAAAGGACGAAAAGGATCAAAAAGGACTAAAAGGATCAAAAATGACGAAAAGGATTAACAAGGACGAAAAAGGACGAATAGGACGCAAAGGACAAAAAGGACGAAAAGAATTTTAATTTTATTTAAGTTACGTTACTGTTCTTATGTTTCATTATATTGAGATCTTTGATTATTTATGCATTTAATTTATTAATTTGTTTTTTCTTTGATTCTGAATTGTTGTCATTGTTTTTATATTCTTTATAATTGTCCTGTAACTGGAATGTGTAGTTCTGTTGGGCAATAAACTTTATTATTATTATTATTAAAAGAACCAAAAAGGACGAACTTGACGAAAACGATCAAAAACGACGAAAAGAACGAAAGGGATTAAAAAGAACGAAAATAACGAAAAGGATCAGAAAGGACGAAAAGAATTAAAAAGAACGAAAAGGATTAAAAACGACGACAAGGTCGACAAGGACAACAAGGACAACAAGGACAACAAGGACGACAAGGACAAAACGGACGAAACGGTCGAAAAGGTCGAAAAGGACGTCAAAGACGAAAAGGATCAAAAAGGACGAAAATGATCAAAAAGGACGAAACGGACGAAGAGGAACAAGAAGGACGAAAAATGACGAAAAGGACGAAAAAGAACGAAAGGGGCGAAAGGGACGAAAAAGGACGAAAAATGACGAAAAAGATGAAAAAGACGCAAAAGGACGAAAAAGACGAAAAGGACCAAAAAGGATAAAAAGGATCAAAAAGCACGAAAATGACGAAAAGGATCAAAAAGCACGAAAATGACGAAAGAGATCAAAAAGGACGAAAAAGGACGAAAGAGATCAAAAAGGACGAAAAAGGACGAAAACGACGAAGAGGCTCAAAAAAGACGAAGGACGAAAAAGGACGAAAAAGGACGAAAAAGGACGAAAAAGGACGAAAAAGGACGAAAAGGACGATAAAGGTGGAAAATGACGAAAAGGATCATAGAGGATGAAAATGACGAATAGGATCAAAAAGGACGAAAAGGATCAAAAATGACGAAAATGACGAAAGGGATCAAAAAGGACTAAAAGGATCAAAAAGGACTAAAAGGATCAAAAAAGACGAGAAGGATCAAAAAGGACGAATAGGATCAAAAAGGACGAAAATGATCAAAAAGGACGAAAATGACGAAGAGGACAAAAAGGACGAAAAAGGACGAAAAGGGCGAAAGGGACGATAAGGACGAAAAATGACGAAAAAAGACGAAAAGGAGGAAAAGGACCAAAAAGGGCCAAAAAGGACGAAAATAACTAAAAGGATCAAAAAGGACGAAAATGACGAAAGGGATCAAAAAGGACGAAAAAGGACGGAAAGGATGAAGAGGCTCAAATAGACGAAAAAGGACGAAAAAGGACGAAAAGGACCAAAAGGATCAAAAAGGACAAAAATGACGAAAAGGATTAACAAGGACGAAAAAGGACGAAAAGGACAAAAAGGACAAGAAGTACGAAAAGAACCAAAAAGGACGAAAATGACGAAAAGGATAAAAAAAGACGAAAAGAACGAAAGGGATTAAAAAGGACGAAAAAGACAAAAAAGATCAAAAAGGCCGAAAAGAATAAAAAGGATCAAAAGGGCCGAAAAGAATTAAAAAGGACGAAAAGGATTAAAACGGACGACAAGGACGACAAGGACATAACGGACGAAACGGTCGAAAAGGACGAAAAGGATCAAAAAGGACTAAAAGGATCAAAAAGGACAAAAATGACGAAAATGATTAACAAAGACGAAAAAGGACGAAAAGAACCAAAAAAGGATTAAAACGGACGACAAGGACGACAAGGACATAACGGACGAAACGGTCGAAAAGGACGAAAAGGATCAAAAAGGACTAAAAGGATCAAAAAGGACAAAAATGACGAAAATGATTAACAAAGACGAAAAAGGACGAAAAGAACCAAAAAGGACGAAAAAGGACGAAACGGACGAAAATGACGAAAAGGACGAAAATGACGAGAAGGACGAAAAGGACGAAAATGACGAGAAGTACGAAAGGGACGAAAAGAACGAAAAAAACGAAAAGAACGAAAAGGACGAACAGGACAAAAAGGATCAAAAAGGACGAAAAGGACGAAAAGGACGAAGAAGGACGAAAAGGATCATAAGGGACGAAAATGACGAATAGGATCAAAAAGGACCAAAAAGATCAACAAGTATCAAAAAGTAACGAAAAGGATCAACAAGGACGAAAATGATGAAAAGGACGAAAAAGATAAAAAGGACGAACAGGATGGAACGGACGAAAAGGTCAAAAATGTTAAAAAGGATAAAAAGGATAAAAAGGAAAAAAGGAAAAAAAAGGATAAAAAGGATAAAAAGGATAAAAAGGATAAAGAGGATAAAAAGGATAAAAGGATAAAAAAGATGAAAAGGATTAAAGTATAAAAAGGATAAAAAGGATCAAAAAGGACGTCAATGACGAAAAGGTCGAAAAGGACGACAAGGACGAAAAGGATAAAAAAAGACGAGAAGGATCAAAAAGGACGAAAATGATCAAAAAGGACGAAAAAGACGAAGAGGAACAAGAAGGACGAAAAATGATGGAAAGGACGAAGAAGGACGAAAGGGGCGAAAGAGACCAAAAAGGACGAAAAATACGAAAAAGACGAAAAAGGACGAAAGAGGCGAAAGGGACGAAAAAGGACGAAAAATTACGAAAAAGAGGAAAAAGGACGAAAAATTACGAAAAAGAGGAAAAAGGACGAAAAGGGCTAAAAGGACCAAAAAGGACAAAAAGGGCCAAAAATGACGAAAATGACGAAAATTATCAAAAAGCACGAAAATGACGAAAAGAATCAAAAAGGACGAAAATGACGAAAGAGATCAAAAAGGACGAAATGGACGGAAAAAGAAGAAAAGGACGAAAAAAGACGAAAAGGATCATAAAAGACGAAAAGGACGAAAAGGATCATAAAGGACGAAAATGACGAATAGGATCTAAAAGGACGAAAAGGATCATAAAGGATGAAAATGACGAATAGGATCAAAAAGGACGAAAATTACGAAAGGGATCAGAAAGGACGAAAAAGGACGGAAAGGACGAAGAGGATCAAAAAGGACCAAAAAGATCAACAAGTATCAAGAAGTAACGAAAAGGATCAACAAGGACGAAAATGATGAAAAGGACGAAAAGGACGAACAGGACGAAAAGGACAAAAAGGATAAAAAGGATAAAAAGGATAAAAAGGATAAAAAGGATAAAAAGGATAAAAAGGATAAAAAGGATAAAAAGGATAAAAAGGATAAAAAGGATAAAAAGGATAAAAAGGATAAAAAGGATAAAAAGGATAAAAAGGATAAAAAGGATAAAAAGGATAAAAAGGATAAAAAGGATAAAAAGGATAAAAAGGATAAAAAGGATAAAAAGGATAAAAAGGATAAAAAGGATAAAAAAGATTACAGTATAAAAAGGATAAAAAGGAAAAAAAAAGATAAAAAGGATAAAAGGATAAAAAGGATCATAAAGGACGAAAAACGACGAAAAGGACGAAGAGGTTCAAAAAAGACGAAAAAGGACGAAAAAGGACGAAAAGGATCATAAGGCACGAAAATGACGAATAGGATCAAAAAGTACGAAAAAGATCAACAAGTATCAAAAAGTAACGAAAAGGATCAACAAGGACGAAAAAGGACGAAACGGACGAAAAGGACGAAAAGTACGAAAAGGACCAAAAGGACGAATAATAAAAAAATATCAATATTTTTTGTAGACTTAACCCCCAGAAATTGTACTTTCGGCATCATTTCTTCGTAAACTTCTACACCATTTTTACAGAGTCAGAATCGCTCATTGAAGTATGGTAATTTTCATAAACGACTAAAAAAATGAATTTCAAACGAATGTTTCTAAAAGCTTGCCCCTGGTCTATAAAGTATAAACACGCTATATTTTTCTAATCAGCACGACCAGCAGATCTATATATTTCCAAGATTTTTTTGTGGAGTTTTAGACAAATTCTCCAAAAAATCAATTTTCTGAAATTTGGTTGTAAGAACTTAAAAAAAATATATAGGTATTCAAAACGATTATTTCAAAAATCTTGCTCCAGGATTATATTTTTCGTATTATCGCGTCGAGATCCATCATCTAAATTTTTTTTTTGGATTTCTAGACAACTTTTTTGAAAACTCAATTGTCAAATACTTCTTTTCCAAAATTTTGACCGTCTTTCGACAACCTGCGAAAATTACCTAAATACTCCTATATTTTTTGGTAGATTGCGACTTTTAGAAGTTGTTTTCGGCATGATATTTCCAAAAACTTCTAATGTTTTTTCAGAAGCGTCCTACGAAATATAAGACTTACGAAAAAATGTTTCTTTTTATTTGACCCTATAAATTTGTCAATTTTTAGAAATTTTTTAAAACAATGAATTTCACACCCAACATTTCTAAAATCTTCCTTCGGGAGCAAAAACACGCTGAAAAACTTATACAATTTTTTCAAAATCGGCCATGAAATGGCAATTGCAAGGACTTTTAAAAAAAGTCGTTTTAAAAATGTTCGTTTCGCACTTTTTTTTTTTTAATAAGCTACACGCTTACGAAAATTTCGATCACCTTCAAAAATTACATAAGAAAGTTTTTTTGTAAATTCTGACCTCCAGAAATGACTTTCGGCCTTTGTTCTGCGAAAACGACCTTAAGATTCAAGGATAAAAATCTCTGAAGAGAAAATGCATTCAAATTAACGTTTTCAGAAAAGGACTTGATCGGAAACGAAAATTTCAATAAGTAAAATCACTGTGTGTATAATTGGTTGCATAACTATATCTGTTTGAGATAATTTATGCATTTAAACGTTTCACTTCACAAAAATCGTTCCAAAAATTCGTAGATAAGCAGAAAATTAATAAAATCGTTATTAAAATCTCAACACAAGTGAGTTTTTTAATATTTTCTATAAAAAAATTGTTAGCTTTAATTTTTTTTTTCTAATAGCATATAGATATTGTTCACACCTTTAAGTTCCGAAGCGAACTAATTTCAACAAAGTACGAAAAACACGAAAAGACAAGAAATCGCACAACATAATAACATAACGATGTTTTAGGGGATTCCATTTTTGTACTTTTGTATTTTAGTACTCATAAAATAACCTTATCACAAGCATCAACCAATGATAAAAATCTAATAATATTAGATATAGTAAACGAAAGTGGATTACGGTTCAAAACTTGCTCTTTAAACCTAAATTGATCTGTATTAGAGTTTGCCCGGCGCACTGGGTCAATGTCACTGGGCGTTGCACAATACCTGCAATACGGCCCTGTCACCTGTCAGTGTCACGCATTCTAGTGGTTTTTACAGCCGCGGTTGGCAGTACAAATCCGGTGCTCACTAGAGTTAGACGAAGGTAAAATTCTCCCAATATTACGCAAGTAATTACGACCCGAGCCCCCTAACCGCCGCCAAACCCACCCCTTCGCCAGCCACACGCCGCCCCCGCGAAAACCCCGCCTCGTCACCCCAAATTTTCCACGTTTTTCCGTTACATAATCCCCCCGTCCGCAGCCTCCTGGTATCGATCCCGCTTTCCCGGCCCGAACCTTCCCAAAGCCGCGTTTTCCACCCGAAAACACCCATCGCTCCCGTCGCAGCCCCATCAGCCCCCTTTTGCGCACATGTTGCCCGGTTTTGGCGTTATTTGGTATTTACGTCCGGGTCCGATTGACGGCAGCCAAAAATCCGATTTAAATTTAGTTTTCACGTGACTGCATTGGAAGTCCGGTGGAAGTTTTGCTCAATTGCGTTGTCTTTGAACGTAATGGTCGCGGAGGCAATCGTGCGCGCAAGGTCGCCCCATTAGAGGAAATTCTAATTTTGAGGTTAGGTTTGTAGAGATGTATCGGGCCAGGGCGCTGGTGAATTACTTCGGGGGCCAAGGACAGTTCGCTGGGTGGCTCCTCACGAAAAATGCAGTGCCGGGGATTAGTTGTGCTTCGACGAGGAACTACAATGTACCTGTTGCTTCCGAGCCTTTCCTCAATGGGAGCTCCAGCCAGTATGTCGAAGATATGTATAATGCGTGGTTGGCGGATCCGGCTAGCGTCCATGCTGTGAGTATCGTCATAAGCTGGTAGTTTAATATGAAACTATCGAAAAGAGGTAAAAAGTTGTGGAAAATTTTTGTTGTAAATACCTTTAGAACAGGCTTGGGAGTGCGTTAATTAATATAAAACGTGGCTTAATGGCCTCGTTTCCGAATTGCGACCATACAGTTAGATGTAGCATGATTAGTTGTAATAATTTACTGTGCACATTTGGAATTCTTGGAAATGAGAGGTTATGTTGTCAGACTACAAATAGACTGACACTTCTAACCGGAAATGTACACTCCGCAACAAACGTATTTTTATACTTTATACAGGCTGTCTCAACGATTCAGTAATACATATAACATTATTTTTGTAAACTTTTAAAAAAATCTACAGCTTCAAAGTTTTTCATTTAAATCATAAAATAATCATAAATTTAAACTTATTAATAAATGGGAAGAAGATGTTAGAAATAGCACTAATTCTGCATTTTAAATTTAACAAACAATATTTTTTATTTTGGTCCTTGTTAATGTTAAAACTTTAAAATTAATAATAGACTTACCTATGTTAATTCCAAGACCATACTCAATTAAAAATTATTTAATTGGAAAATATAAAATAAAATATTTAATAGTTAATACAATAAAGTACGAAGGTAAACTTCATAAACTCGGCATCACAAGAAAGGTTACTTAAAATAGAACTCATTTATTAGAGTTATAATTTACAATTACTTTCAAATGTACAGGAAGGTTACAGATCAAAGTTCGGTTTTTTGCTAATGAAACACCTTATATATTTTTACAGTCCAGAAACATTACGGAAAAGAAAAAATAAACAAAGGTTGAAGGTTATCTCGATAGGACTTCGCTCGCCTTTGAAGTATAGTCGAATAAATTACACACCCTATAATTTTTTTTGTTTGTCTACGACCGAGAAGTTGAAAAATTGAGAAATTTGGAAAACCGAAAGATTGGAAAATTTGATAATCTAAACTTAAAAACTGTAAAACTGTAAAACTGTAAAATTGAAAAGTCAAAAAGTTGAAAAATTGAAAATCGAAATTTTGAAAAATTAAAATTCAAAAAAATGGAAAATCCAAACAGTGAGATTGTTATTATAAATACTGATTAGAAACCGGATAATTGAGAATTCGAAAAATTGTAACAATATAAATCTGAAAATAAAAAAAAATAATGAAATTCGGATTATTGAAAATTAAGAAATCGAGACATCCAAAAATTGTAAAATGTAAAATTGAAAAACAAAATAGTGTACAATTGAAATTTTGAACAATTAAAAATTAAAAATTGGATAATTGTAAACTCGAAAAATTATCAAACTGCAAAAATGAAAATTTTCTAAATTATTAAATTGAAGAATTGAAAAATTGAGAAACTAGAAAATCCGATTTTGAAAAATAAAAAATTGGAAAACCTTTCATTAAAAATTGTACAATTATTGAGAACTCGGAAAAACTATAAAAATATAAAAAACTGAAAAATAGAAAAATTACAAAACTATGAAACTAAAAAATCAAAACTTTGGAAAATGAAAAATAAAAATTTTTTAAAATTACAAATCAAAAAATTCGAAAATGGAAACAGTGAAATTCGGATATTGAAAAATTAAAAGTTAAGAAATTGATTAATAACAACCGAATAATTGAGACATTTAAAAATTGAAAAATCGCATAACGTTTAAAAAGAAAAATTGTCAAATAAATGGAATAATAAAAAAATTGAAAAATTAAAATTGAAATTTTGAACAATTTAGAATTGGATAATTGTAATCTCGAAAATTTATTAAACTAGAAAAATTAAGAAGTTCTAAATTATTATTAAATTGAAAAATCCAAGGGATTCCAAAACCGAAAAATTGTAAACTTGAGAAAATCCTATATTGAAAAATCAAAAATTGTAAAATCTTTGATTAAAAACTGAACAATTGAGAACTCGAAAAACTGTAAACACATAAAACTGAAAAATCGAAATTTTTAAAAATTAAAAATCAAAAAATTCGAAAATAGAAACAGTGAAATTCCGATATTGAAAAATTGAAAATTAAGCAATTGATTTATTAATCAATTGCTTAATTTTTTCAATTTTTATTAAAACCGAATAATTGAGACTTTCAAAAACTGTAAAAATGTCAAATTGCAAAATCAAAAATTGAAAAGTCGGATAACTTTTAAAAACGAAAAATTGTAAAATAAACGGAAAAATAAAAAAATTAAAAATTAAAATTAAAATTTTAAACAATGCAAAATTCTAAAATTAGTAAATTGAAAAATGGAAAGTAGAAAAATTGAAAAGTCTAAGGATTGCAAAACCGAAACATTGAAAAATCAAAAATTGAGAAACTGGTTCATTAAAAACTACTCAAAAAATTGTGAAATAAATTGAAAAATCCAAAAATTGAAAAGTTAAAATCGAAATTTTGAACAATTAAAAATTAAAAATTGGAAAATTGTAGACTCGAAAAATTATTAAACTACAAAAATGAAGAATTTCTAAATTATTAAATTGAAAAATCCAAGGGATCCCAAAACCGAAAAATTGAAAACTTGAGAAACTAGAAAATCCTATATTGAAAAATCAAAAATTGTAAAATCTTTTATTAAAAACTGTACAATTGAGAACTCGAACAACTGTAAAAACTTAAAATTGAATGATAAAGAAATTGCAAAATTATGAAGCTGAGAAATTGTATATTTTAAAATTTACAAGTTGAAAAATCAGGGAAAAGCAAAATACAAAAACCACAAAACTGTGAAATTACAAAATCAAAACCTTGGAAAAATAGAAAATCAAAATTTTTAAAAATTAAGAATCAAAAAATTCGAAAATGGAAACAGTGAAATTCAGACATTGAAAAATTGGAAATTAAGCAATGGATTAATAAAAACCGAATAATTGAGACATTCAAAAATTGTAAAAATATAAAATTGCAAAATCAAAATAGTCTAAAATGGAAAATTGAAAAGTCGGATAACTTTTAATAACGAAAAATTGTAAAATAAACGGAAAAAAATTGAAAAATTAAAACTGAAATTTTGTACAATTAAAAATGGGATACTTGTAAACTCGAAAATTTATTAATCTGCAAAATTGAAAAATCGAACAATTGAAAATTGAAAATTCGAAGGATTTCAAAACCGAAACATTGAAAAATCGAGAAACTGGAAAATCTGATATTAGAAAATCAAAAATTAAGAAACTGATTCATTAAAAACTACTCCAAAATTGGAAAAAAAATTGAAAGATTCAAAAATTGAAAAGTTAAAATCGAAATTTTGAACAATTAAAAATTAAAAATTGAATAATTGTTAACTCGAAAATGGATTAAACTTTAAAATTAGCAAATTGAAAAATGGAAAATAGAAAAATTTAAAAGTCGAAGGATTGCAAAACCGAAACATCGAAAAATCGAGAAACTGGAAAATCTGATACTGGAAAATCAAAAATTGAGAAACTAGAAAATCCTGTATTGAAAAATCAAAAATTGTAAAACCTTTGATTAAAAACTGAACAGTTGAGAACTCGAAAAATTGTAAAAACATAAAACTGAAAAATCAAAAAATTGCGAAATTATGAAGCTGAGAAATTTATATTTTAAAATTGACAAGTTGAAAAATCAGGGAAAAGCAAAATACAAAAACTACAAAACTATGAAATTACAAAATCAAAACTTTGGAAACTAGAAAATCGAAATTTTAAAAATTAAAAATAAAAAAATCCGAAAATGAAAACAGTATTGAAAAATTGAAAATTGAGAAATTGATTAATAAAAACCGAATAATTGAGACATTAAAAATTGTATAAATGTAAAATTGCAAAATCAAAATAGTGTAAAATCCAAACTGAAAAATCGGAAAACCTTTAAAAACGAAAAATTGTAAAATAAACGGAAAAATAAAAAAATTGAAAAATTGAAATTGAAATTTTGAACAATTAAAAATGGTATAATTGTAAACTCGAAAATTTATTAAACTGCAAAATTGAAAAATTTTAAAATTAGTATATTGAAAAGTGGAAAATAGAAAAATTGAAAGTCGCAGGATTGCAAAACGGAAACATTGAAAAATCGAGAAACTGGAACATCTGATATTGGAAAATAAAAAATTGTGAAACTAATTCATTAAAAATTACTCGAAAAATTGGAAATTAAATTGAAAGATCCAAAATTTGAAAAATTAAAATCGAAATTTTGAACAATTAGAAATTAAAAATTGGATAATTGTAAACTCGAAAAATTATTACACAAGAAAAGTGAAGAATTTCTAAATTATTAAATTGAAAAATCGAAGGGATTCCAAAACCGAAAAATTGAAAAACTAGAAAATCCTATATTGAAAAATCAACAATTGAAAAATCTTTCATTAAAAACTGAACAATTGAGAACTCGGTAAAATCTAAAAATATAAAACTGAAAACTCAAAAACTGTAAAACTGTAAAATTGAAAAGTCAAAAAGTTGAAAAATTGAAAATCCAAACAGTGAAATTGGGATTAAAGAAAAAAATACGAAACAATATACAATTGCAAAATTGATTAATTAAAAAACGGATAAATCTGAAAATAAAAAAAAAATGCAAAATTACGAACTTGCAAAATAAAAAATTGAAAATAGAAAAATAACCAAATGTAAAAATCGAAAAGCCAAAAAATTCGAACGTCGAAACAATGAAATTCGGACTATTGAAAATTGAGTAGGAATTGAGACATCCAAAAATTGTAAAATGTAAAATTGAAAAACAAAATAGTGTAAAATCCAAACTGAAAATCGGATAAACTTTAAAAACGAAAAATTGTAAAATAAACGGAAAAATAAAAAAATTGAAAAATCGAACAATTGAAAAATCGGGAAACTTCAAAATCTGGTATTGGAAAATCAAAAATTGAGAAACTGATTAATTAAAAACTACTCGGAAAATTGGAAAATAAATTGAAAGATCCAAAAATTGGAAAGTTAAAATCGAAATTTTGAACAATCAAAAATTAAAAATTGGATAATTGT